CAGAAATAAAACCAGAAGGCACAAAGGTGGACCAAGGAACACTGATGGTGACAACTTCAAATGGAACATGAGGTCAGAGAAGGACAATGTTGGGCTCTGGCAAAGTCAGAAGGGCAGTGGGCAGCTGTGGGCAGTGTCTGAGCAGAGAAGCAGCAGAGTCAGGTTGGTGTTTTGGAAAGATCACCCTGACTGCACTTGTGAGAGCATGATGTTTATGGTCTGTAAAATCATCTATCCTCAGGTAAGACTTTTGTCTATGGAGTAAATTCTCCAATGAAGGATATCAAGGCCCTTCCCAGCTTTTTGTTTAGACATAATTCTGCAGTGAGTATCACAGCCAAATCAACACACACTAAGTCATTATAACCAATTTCTACTAGTAAGTCTTCTTCATTCTACATGGGGGGGTCACTGAAGAAGTTGAATGTTCTCAGCACCCCACCAGGGGATTATCTGAGAGCTTGTTATGCCAGCCTAAGCTTGTATCCAGGAAGAAGAGGACCCTCTCAGAGAGCACCAGTGGATTTTATGTGGTCAACTGTCTACACAGCAGAACAGTATTTACTGGACTTTGAGCCCCACAAAGGCACATTGAAGGTCCGGGAGATTTTACAAGGGCCCAGGTTTCCTTCTGTACACTGGACCCTGGTTGTCCAGGCTGACTTACATGAGAAATCCCCACCACTGTCCTGCAGCCTGCCTCATTTATGTACTGATGCACAGTCAGTCATGCTCACAGCATGCTGTCATCCTGCTGTACAGTTTTCTGACTTCTCAATGGCCTCTTTCCTAGGCACTGCTGGAGATCCCCAGGTCCAACCTCTTTCTTGGGGCTCATACTTATTTTTTTGTTTATTGTGTACTTTGGGTGCCCATCCTGTATCCTGCTCTGTTGATCAGGATGGCCTCAAACTTACAGAGATCTGCCTCACTCTGCTTCTCAGTGCTGGGATTAAAGGCATGTGCCAACACTGCCTGGCAAGGCTCATAATTGGTACATCATTCTCTCCAACCTTGATTCCTTTCCCCGGGAAAACTGGCCCAGCTTGTCTCCAGACCATCTCCTAGCCATGCTTCTAACATCTCTTTCAGAGCTACACTTCCATGGAGCTCACTTCAGCCTCCCACCCTCTCCTTCCTCAGGAAACTATCCTTCTAGATGTCTTCCCACCCAGCTCACAATCTTGGCCTCTCTCTAAATCAACACTTGTCTCTCTCGACCATGTGTCTCATACAAACTGCAGGAAGAGTCCTTACTGAGTCCCTGTAGGAAGAGACCTGCAACCAGAAACAGGACCTAAAGCCTGAATACAGCAAGAATGCTGCAGGTCCTGTTGCTGGGATACAGCATACCAGAAGGGTTAAGCAAGAACACTCCAAAGTCATGTGGCTGGTTGAAAGACTGAAGGGGAGGATCCCTGACCTGTCCACTCCTTTCCTGGTTCAGAGCGGGGCTCACTCTTCATTATTTCTACACAAGACACCAGTATACACACAAAAAAGAGAGAGGGAGAGAGAGAGACAGAATGACAGACAGACAGCAGTTGTGGTTCAGATGAGCTATGTGGCAGCCTCTGACTTTCCTGACAAAGCCATGATTTTCACTTGATGGCTTGAAAGCTTAGGCCATGGAGGCTGAGCAGAGAAAAGACATAGTGAGCTGTGACTAAGTGGGCAGTGCAGGGGTCAGTGTATCCTGTCCTGTGAGCCACAAAGGCCCCATGGCAGAGCCAACCTGGGCACAGCTGGATCACCGATTATCAGGTGTCCCTAACAATGCTGACCACGGGTGTTTGGAAGATGTCTCAAATCTAGGAAAGCTTCCCCATTTATTATTCTTTCTGTATGTGATTCATACACAGATAAAAGCTCATCAAAGAATTCATTCTGTCAATTATGTTTCTTATTTTTTTCTTTAATAAATTTTTATTCATTTTATACACCAACCACAGATCCCATTCTCATCTCTCCTCATGCTTCAGCCAGCATTTCCCCCACCCCCAGACCTACCTCCCTGTCCCCACCTCCAAAAAGATAAGGCTCCCATGGGGAGTCAGCAGAGCCTGGTATGTTCAGTTGAAAAAGCACTCACGTTCAAATTTGTAAGTTGCTCGCAATTATTGCAGGGATGCTAGGGCTAAAAGGAGGGTTGGTTTGAAACAGCCAAACCAGGAACACTAAAGATGAGACACAAAGGTTTTTTGCCATCAGTAGGACAGTCAAGCTGTCTCACACTGATAAAGACAGGGCTCCCGACTAGTGTGGGCAGTCCAACCAGGCCACCAAGTCCCTCAGGAAAGCACACATGGCACTATTGTCTCCTTATATAGCCTAGCTTCTCCAGCAGCTAATTGTGAGAGTGAGCAAAGTCTGTGTCTAAAAAAGCCTCCCATTTCAGTGTTTCAGGGAAGCCTTTCATAACCACACAGGAGATAAGGAGAGGAGGAAGGACAGTTGCAGCTGCTTCTTGGTGACTGAGAAGAAAGAGAGCTGAGTATAGATAAAATCACCTGGGACAGCTGAAATGTCAGAGGACAGAAGACCACCCAGTGTCTAATGGTGACAGGACAGTCAAGGCCCACAACTCACAAAGCCCTGGTCAGAGATGGATAAATGGTCCTGTGGTGGGAGGGGGTTGAGCCACCCCTGACAAGGTGGGCAATAGTTGAACAGAGCATGATCATCTCCTTGGTGTGTGCTAGACCATGTGGACCCTGGGCCTCCAGAGTCTCAGCCTATGCTATACCAGATAAATAACCCATCTCCTAACAATTACCTCAGCCATTGTCAAGACTCTGCCATGATCCTATTAAAAACAAAAACCACGAAATGACAGAGCTCAGTGGCTCTTTTAAATTTGGGGAATGTCACATACTGTGGGGAGTCTCTCTAACTTTTCCTCATCCTGCCCTTTCCTGCAATGATTCTTTGTAGAGCTGAATCCAGAATTGCTTACTCCTCCTGTCTTTCACCTTCACAGCTGTGAGACAGGTTTGGAGCCAGTACCCAGGGTTGATCTTTGATGTCCTCAGGTATCTGGGTCACCCTAGGACCTTGGTCAAGCACAGTTACGTTGAGAAAGCTCTCCATCAGAATGAGCTTGTGAATACCAGTGGAATTCAGCTCTGTTGGGAGTACAGTCTCTCAGGAGGATCTTGCCCTGGCTTACCTACATATTTGTCATCATACATGGCTCTTCAGTGCATCACAACCAAAATTGGGTTATTTTGTTTGAAGGACATTTCCATAATTTAAAAAAGTGATTTATCTGGTCTCAAGGGCCTGCTGAGTTTGAGAAGGTCTTTTTGTTACTCCCTGTGACTAAATTTGAACAGTCCATCCTTACCCAAAACTAGAGGTGTCAGATAAGGAGAAAACCAGAGCCACAGGTTCTGCACCCCCACCACACACACTCACTGCGTTTTTTAAAGTATTCCCTGCTCTTTGCAGCCCTAAAGTGCTTCAGGCTAGATACCTCCGAGGACAAGCCCACAGCCACTGAGTCTGTGCAGGCCAGAATCTGTGATTGGACACATTGTAATTACGTTGAGTCTCCAGAAGACAAGCCTTCCAGATCAAGAGTCAGAGCTGAACCTCTGGCCCCAACAGTGTGGACAGGGCTTTAAGCTTCAGAACTCGGGTTTGATCAAAAGATTCCCCACATGGAGCCTTGCCAGGACGAAAGCCACAGTTTCAACAGGATGCTGTGTCCCAGAGCTGATGAGGACCAGGAACAACAGCATGGTCAGTAAAATGATTCTGACTGGAGTTGGGCAAAGTCCGGGAAGCAAATCTGTTGGAAAGGCCAGTGGCCATGCACTTCGATTACCCGGCTCTGCCCATGGCCCCTCTCCAGGCTTTCCAATAATCCATGGCCACGATGTTCAGATCTTTTCTTTGTGTTTTTCTCTCTAGCAGATGAGAATGCAGTGTTCCTGAAGGCTGAAGAGAAAGGAGGCACGAGAGGGCTTGTACAGATCGAGCTTGCTCAGGGTGAGCTTGATCAGGGAAAACTTGGGTCTGTCCCATAGATAAAGGCCTGGGTTTGGTGGTACATTTCCTCAGGGGCTTAATGTTGGGGTTTTCACGGTTTCAATGAGAATGAAATCTGTTGCTTCCAGCATTCTGAACAATCAGTACACACTTGAGGTATGTCTTCAATCTTTCTTAGGGTTAGATCGATAAACAGTTCCTGGGCAATCAGAAATATGGTATTTTGCTAGGGGAGTAGCTCAGGTCTGGAGCACACACCTAACACACACTGGCCCAGAGATGGGTTCCATATGTCTTCTAAAATGTTAGTAAAATTGAGCCAATATACATGGTTACAGCATGTGTTCTTCGGTGGTGGTACAGTTCAGTGTACTAAAGCAACCCTTTCTTCTGCTTGTAGGATTGGTTTAGGACCAGGAGAGCCATTTTCAGGAGAAGCAATAGAATGGTGGTGCTGATTGATGCACCACCTGGTCCTCAGAACAACGATCCCTGAAGATTTTAGAGCAGCACTTTACTGCCAACTCTGTCCAAGAACCAGATGTCATGGAACCTGGCCCTGCCCCCAGTGTCTCAGCCAGACATGCTGGCCATGACATCCTTTTCTTCCCTGCAATTATCTCAGTAATAAAGTGCTGGATTCTAAGTATGTTGGTTCCATTGTTTTCAGGTTACTAAAATATGGGTATCAGTATTTGAATCATAGCAGCCTATTCCAGGAATGGCACTTATGGCAGGAGGTGACCCTGGCAAGCTGTGGTCACTGTGCCTTGACAAGTGAGGAAGATTTCCAGATGCTATGCTGCTTCATGCTGACCCCACATGACTCTCTGCCCCCTTATCATGGCCTTGTACTCACCCCATCTATGTGGAACAATTATTTGTAATGTCAGGTGGAGCAAGTCCCCAGTACAGGACACTGTGTTTCTAGTCATGGCTGTTCACACCCACACTCCAGTAAGCCTCGCCATAGACCCAGCTGGAAACTTTGACAGTGGGAGGAAGGGGTACATGATGTGTGGTTTGCACCCTCTCTGTGGACATCCAGGGCACTAGGAGCCACACTGGCCAGAGTCCTGATGCTTGAGAGGGAGAGGAGAATCCATCCATCCAGGCCACAAGGGGGTTTCTGCCTCATTTCTTACATTCCAGGTCAGGGAGCATATGGTCTCACCCTCACCTGCTCAGAGATCTTGAATAATATGCCTTCTCCCTGCATTTTGTCACCTGCCTTGGAGAACCCTCAGTAATCAAGATTTCGGGGACCTTTACTTCATAGCAGCTATAATTTGTAAAAAAGATTGAGTCCCTAGAAATGTTCTGAAACAGTCAGTCAATGCAGAGAGTAATATTGCTTCTTTGCATATGTGAAGCTGCAAGTCCAAATAAACAAAGTCCATCTTTGTGAGATGGAGAGGTGTGACCTAGGTGTACAGACCCAAACTTACTGCATGGTGTTGTCTCAATACCAGGCTCTCCTACCCTTGCAATCCATAGTCTATTTTCAGTCTCTGGGAATGTGAGTGCTCCAGGGACCTTGCCTGCTGCAGGTACTTGCGAGTTTGCTTGTGAGTCCCTATGATATCTCCCAGAATGATGATTTCAAGCCCTTGCTGTATTAGAATTTCACTAGGGCAGCATCTATGGCCCTGAACCGGAGGTCTCCCCTTTTCAGGTCTAGCAAATAGTATACCAGTACCGATAACCAGTTCCCCTGGCTTTAAGAATCTTCCACCAGTCATGGTCCCTATGCCTGTGAGCAACGGGTATGACAGAGATGTCCCATTTAGACCTGAGTGCTCCACCTTCTCTTGTGTGCTGGTGCACATGGACCAACTGTGGGTCTCTGTACTAACCATCACCTCAGATTGCCTCCAGGGAGCCTGAGTTACTGGCTGCTTCTGGCTTCCACTGTTTCTATGATGGAAGAAGATTTTCTACACTAGTGAGGCCCAATCTTCCTTCCTGACCACCCCCAGGCCTCCATACATACACACTGCTGCAGCTGCCACTACCACCATGGCCTCTGCTCCTAATTGACTTCTGGATGATATTTGCAATCAGCTTTATCTTAGGATAATCCCCAAAGGCTCATGGGAGACCACACTTGGAGAAGGAGAGAGAGAGAGAGAGAGAGAGAGAGAGAGAGAGAGAGAGAGAGAGAGAGATGGGTTCACTGGGGCGCTGGAGGCATCAGGACATCCTGTGGCTCCACATTGGATGTTCCAGCAAGAGATAACTTTCTTGAGTTCCGTTCAGGCCCTTGCCACCAATCTATCAGATACAGAATGTTATCTGCTGACCTGCTCCAGTACCTGGCTGCCACATCCAGTGGCCTCAGTCTCCACACTGGGGCTGATGCTCCATGACCTGAACCATCTGATGGCATCCGGTATCTCAGCTGACTGTGGATTCTCATACTTTGCTCATCGGTTATGGGGAACTGAGATGTGCTGTTGACAGTCTTCCTGGTGAGACGGGAGAAACTGGGAACAAATATCTACTAAGCCCAGTTGGAGATATCCAGCCTTTTACTTCCCTGTTTCTTAACCATCTCCTCCATGTTACGAAATGTTTCAACTCCATTTGGAATGTCTTATGTCTTCAGGAGCTTTCCTCCAGATGGAATGTCTTATCTTGGAGGAAAACTGCTACACAAAATGTGTATACAGCTGCAGGGCCAGATCTTTTTGAGGCATCCTCTAGGTGACCACATGCCAGGCTCAGGATCTGACTGGCCTTCCTATCAATTAGATGAGGCTTTCCTTTTCTGTAGCTTACACTGCTGTGCAAGGGACCAGTTGTGTGTTTGTGAGAGGGCACCTTCATAAAACATGGACAGTGACTGTGGGGAGACCAGGAAAATGTGTGAAAAGGGATCTGTGTTTCTGATTGGCTGACTACACATAACTGGCTGAGATCTGTGTCTAAGGGAAAGAGTGTGCACTGACACTTTAGAAGAAAAGACTGTGCTGTTCATTGAGGACATTTTGTAAACATCCCTTCCCTCCTTCCCTCAGAAATCCCATATCCATACACAGCTTCTTCCTAAATTCATGGGGCTCAGTTTCTATGACTTCCCTTGGGTATTTGAACTTACTAAAATCAGAACCCCCACTGTTAGGGACTCTGAGGTTCCTGTATTACTGCTGGTTTTACCATGTTCTTAAAGATCTTTCTACTCACAGAGAACACTCTGAGCATAACCACCATGCAGCATCAATCCTAACCTTCCGCATCTTTCTCTCAAGGCCTTTCAAACAAAAGAAGCAATGCTCTATGTCCCCCCCCCCCTGCCCCGCATCCAGGAAAAGGCTGGATATTTCATCAAAAACAATGACCTGTTTTTTTTAGCTATTGACCAGTATTATTTGACGAGGCTTTCTTATTTCTAGGTATGGTATTCACGTTTATAGGTTTAGGTGTTTGCCCTACAATATAATTAGAATTACTGGAGTCTGTCCAGATATGTTGTAGTTCTATACACAGCTAGGCCTCCAGTTCTAGTACCACTTTATAAATAATTACTTAATAAACCAAAAGCTAGACATTTCTATGCACACCTCTGACCGTTGGGTGGGTGTAACGTGAGGAAGTACAGCAGTGGTCATCCTGATGTACACGGTATGGGACAGGTTGGTTTCAGGTTTTCCTGGGACACGTGAGAGACTGACACAAACACAAAGTGAAGAAACAAACCACTGCATTTTTTTCCCTTAGGTCCTATTAACACCCCACCCCAACCCCAGCACTCTGAAACACCGTCAATGAGAGCAATCTCTCTACCACAGGAACTGCACACAACCTCTCCTCTGTTTATGGCCTTCCAGAATCTGTGGCCCTTACTCTGTCCAGGTTTTTGTGCGAATGCACCGTCAACACTCAGTAGTTTGTACTGCAACACAAAGGGTGCAGTTGGTGCAGTGTCTGAACTTGCAGAGCTGAGAAGCACTGGACAGGGCCTTCTATAAACATTCTAATGCAGACTCTTCACAGGTTGTCTGGAGTCTGTTAACTTTCCAAGGGTTGCAATGGCATTTTTGCAGAGCTGCACAGCACACTGTAAACATAGGACCAAAATGTCACTGCTGAAGGTAGAGGTCAGAGACTGGCCTGTGCTTTCAGAGTTCCTGAAGACTCTTGAAGCAGACACGCACAGAGCTGATGCTGTCCACTCAATGTTCATCTCATGTGTCATAGAGACTAGGAAATATGGGGTCTGGGACGTTCAGAAATTATCCAGGCTACACCCAAGCCTCATGTGCTCATTGTGAGTCCCCCCCCTTCCCCACTCTCCATGCTAAAATCAGCCTGCAATCTCCCATAAAACCATTCCTAAGGTGTTGTGTGAGGTCCAAGACCATGGGCCAGGGCAGGCAGCCCGGTCTAAGCAGGTCTCCTAAAGGTAAGAATCAGTGTCCTTCCCCCATCCCATGCTGGGGCCACAACCTAGCTCATTCACACTTCAGAGACTCATCCACTATGTAGGAGGCACACAGAAAGTCAATAGCAGAGGAGGGCCTGAACCTTTGTGGCAGCAACCTGCTGAAAGACCACAGGGCATTACCAACATGAAAACCTCAACCAGGGAGGCCACATGAGCCCTTACAACAGCCTGGGTCCTGAAGGTGACCACAGCAATCAGGTTTCCATGGAGGATGACCTAGAGGAGCCAGCCATGGTTTATTGGTGAGTGAGTAACCAGAACTGTGAGGCAAGTCTTTTGATAGAAGGAAAACTCCTACTCAGGCACCAGGGCTCCCAAATATTCCTACACAAAAAGAGGAACTACCTGGTCATATGATACTTCTTTTTTGTCTTTCTTGTCTCAGAGTGACCAGAACAATTTGGAAAAAAGTGACAGGCATGGGCTCAGTGTGGCCACATGCCAGGGAAGGGGCTACTTGACTGACTATTTTGGGGTGGAGACCAGGGATTAAAAGCCTGGAAATTGCAAGTATGTGTGTGTGTGTGTGTGTGTGTGTGTGTGTGTGTGTGTGTGTGTGTGTTTGTGAGTGTGTTCAAGAGAAAGGTGAGGAACCTGAGCACAGGTATGACAATTCTCACAGCTTTTGCCAGCACTCATGAAGGCTGAACAGTACTACTAAACTCCTCCCCAGTATCCCTGGTGAAGATGAGCCCTCTGCTCTGCCTGCTGAAGGACCAGCAGGCCTTTCCACCCCGCCCAAGCTCCTGGAAAGGCCGAGCATGGAAGCATGACAGCCTCTAACTTCACTTTGTGTGAAATCCTAAAGAAGAACCTCCCAGATAAACACATTAGCTTAATAACCGTTCTCTGCCAAATACCAGGGGCCCAGTGTGGAGTACTAGACCAACAGATGTGGTCCACACATTTCCACAAGGCCTCAGAATTATTGTTTTTTCTTACTCACTGCAGATTTCATCCCATAGGTGACCCCACAAATTTCCTAGGAAGATAATTCACTAAGGACAGGATCTCAGCTGAGACACAACTTGGAAGGCTCCTTCTACACTCTACTTGCCCAAGGGGCACACCTTCCCTGTAAACACATCCTGCTCACTGAAGCTCCAAATTGTTGTTGGTTTTGGACCTCAGGGTCTCAGTCCATAGCAACTGTC